AATATTTAAACAGGAAATTAAAACTTTATAAAAGAACTATTATTGGGAAGTGAAATTAGAATTTTCTCTATGTTTGTAAGCACTAGTCACAGTTTACCATTTTTTTTTGGTTTAGTGTTTTTATTTTTTCCGTAAAACTCAGTGACATTGACAAATTTCAATGCAATTTTCTCTCTTATCTAACAAATGAGAAGCCATGAACTAATAGAGAACCAATTTACTTGCCACCAAAAATTCTTAATTATACATTAATCTGTTTGAATTCTTTATCTCTAAATAAGTGTATGTATAAACAGAATTGCACCATAATTTTGGATGAAAATGGACAAAGCAGGAAGACCATGGCCTATAAAAATTGGCAGCAGTATTACTAGTTCTTGCCCAGACATAATTGACAAGAAAATGTCCAGAAACTTTGGTATTGCTAGGAACAATTAACAATAATGCAGTATATCTTATTATATTATTGCTATTACTCTTTTATCTTTGTGCAAAGATAATAATTCTACTTGTTGCAATTACAGAGAACATTTATTTTACTGCTTAGTGTGGTGACCTAAATCTTCCTTAGCATTAAGAATGGAATGGGTATAAGATTTATTTTATATTTGTTTGTTTCTGATAATGGTGCAAGGAAGTCATCAGACTGTCTCTCACAGAAAAGACAATAGGATCCAGGAAAAGGACACAACTACAAAATCCCTTGCACATTTTCCTGGGATTAATAGATTTCTCTCATTTATAAGTGGTTTTACCTTAGTACACATTTTCTATATTATTGCCATACTAATTTGAAAACATTTCCATTTTGATTTACAAATAAAAGATGAACTCTTGAAAAGTGCAGCCAGAGATTACATAACATAAATACAATTCTCTTAATTTAGGAATTGTTGTACATTAACTAGCAATGATAGCAGTCTCATGTATGGAAACTCTCATGTATGGAAAAGAAACTCATGTATGGAAAAGAGATTAACTTTATAAATTCATGTAAAATGATTGAGAATTTTTTCTAATTTTGTTTGCTTTTTCTAAAAATTTGTTCTTCTGATACTTTGAATTTTCTATTTTTCATTAGGATAAGCCAACTATATGTAGAATATGAAAATTTAAAATGTTTAAAAATTAAGTTTTTAAACATAGAGTTGTGAAAAGTTTAACAAGCCAAGTCTGAATTGGTGATTTCCTAAACTATACATATCCAGCAGTTATAGTGAGCTTTTTAATCTTGTTCAGGCTGATAAAATATACTGAACTTCTAAAATCTTGACTGAATGCAAGAATCAGTTCATCCTGAATGAACATTGTTCTTTTAGTCCTCTAGAAGATAATAAGGACTAGGAGATGACAGACTTTGTGTACAGCATTGCCATTGGAAACTTTTCCCATTCCGTTTCAGTTTTTTCGCAGAAACTGGAGAAAAGTGAATAATCCTCAATATAGATAGCTATGGAAGGAGAAAAGTGGAAGCAAACAAACCCTTTCTTAAAAATAATAAAAAGAATAGCGTATGAATGAAGAATGAACTTAATAATTTAAAATGCAACATGAATCTCAGTTACTTCTCCTTTTCCCAATGATCAGATAAATACAATTGAATTGAAAGAGAAAATTCTACCAAACAGATTTTGGACAGCAGGCTGAGTTTAGGAGGTAACACCTAAATCCCTGAACATGTGGTGGCCTTTACAGTTGGTTACATATTTCTGGGCCTGGAACCACAAGCTAATAGATTGCAAATGAAAGAATAACTTTCAGATGAGACATCTGATGCATCAGCAACTACTGGGACTGGAAACAAGGAAAGACTATTGCTTCTTACTAGAATGATGTAAACCTCCAAATTTCAATAGAGAACAAAATTTGACAGTGAAGAAGGAAGAACAGAGATTTCTGAAAACGATTCCTATGACATTCTTCATTTAAATAGAAAAGAATACTACAAATGAAGCATTTTGGGGATTTTTATCTAATGTGCTGAGGCCACCCTTCAACCTCTTTGTAGTACTAAGTTAAATATTGCTTCTCTAAATGGAGAAATTCAGTTCAGGAAAAAAAAGTGAATTTAAAAATTTAATGATAAATATTTGACAGCAGGTATTTTCATTGAAAACAAAATAAAAGGGATGATTTTATGAATTTTATTCAATACATATTGCTATTTGTAAACAGGTAGAGGATTATCACCCAATTTTCTTTTATTTAGCTATCTAACACTGTAGATTGTTTTTATAACAGGAAGAACTAGAATTAGAAGAAGAAATAGAACCAGTGGGTTCATTCCAAGGTTTCTCCCCACTTTATTTGTAGTAATAGCTTGGGTCCTGACCAGGAGTTCTTCAAATATCTGTGAGAGTACAGTAATTAAAAATGTTAAATAGGTCTTTCTCTACAGCAACTCTGAATGCTAGAAAATGATGGATCAGTTTCTATCACTTCTTCAAGGGAAAAAAATGTGCATTCCAGAAAATTTATTCCCAAAGGGAATGCAATTTCCATGTTCCTTTCTTGACAAAATTATCAGAGAACCAAGGTCAGTGAAGTGAGAAATGAAACCATACGGGCAGAAAAGAATGGAAGTGTCCTAAAAAAATAGTGTTGATCACAAAAGTTCCTGATTTTTCAACCCTCTCTGGACCCATGCTTTTTACTATGAAATTTTTCAGCACCCAACATTGTGGTAGTTCATCTAATTTGGACTCAAGTGTGTTATACAATTTGTCCCAAAGGGCTTTATAATATAGTGTGTGTGTGTGCGCATGCGCGTGCGTGCGCGCAGATACAGATACAGTACATATAGATAGATAGATAGATATTTAGGTATTATATGTTATGTTTGGATTGGGAAAATTAGAGTAAGTCTAGGCTGACTAAAGAATGCTGTACATAAGATTTTCTTTCCTTGTTAATTTGTTATGCATATTCAAAAGTCCAAGGACTAAAGTTATCCTTTGGAAATTCTTTTATTTTAATCCTAATTTTAAACAAAATATTTATAGCTTACATAATCCATGTTAAAATTTAGGCTGGTATCTCTAAATTGAAGTAATGAATTCATTATCAATCTCTTTTCAGAAGAGATATGCGTTTCCATTTACATTTACAAAATAGATTCTTTTCCTAATTAACAATGGTATTGATAAAGCTCTTCTCCTAATATCCTCGGCAAAAAAGATTAAAAGTTGTGTGGAGAAAAATTAAAATAAAGGTGAAATTTTAGCTACTTAAGCATATACCCTGTTAGCATTATTAAAGAAAATTGTAATTATGGGAAAACATAAATAATTTATTTTTTGAATTTTATAACCAAAACCAGCAGTAATATTTGCTTACATTTTGAACAAAACAATATCTATGAATTTATTAAATTGAACTTGGCTTTAAGTAGAAGATTTACAATGAAATAAAAAAAATAACTTTCTCCATTTTGTCTACACCACCCACACCCACCTATATCTTCTAGGAAAACGTTTATATGCAATAGACTTTTATATGCAAAGTTATAAATGATTGGTTAAAATGAAAATTTATTGATTATACAACTTTTATGAGTAACCATATGTTATTTAATTTACAACCCACTAAAATATTCTATTATACACCATATCAATCTTCTATTTTCTTGGATTCCACTTGATTTCAGAAATGAAGCCATAAGATAATGTATATTTCACTGATTTTAGAAATACCACATAAATGTACAATATCTAAGGTGGCATAAGTTGCTATGATGAAGGTTCAATCTGTGTTGGTGGACAGGAAAATTAGAGTACATATAGGCAAACTGCAGAAGAGAAAGCACATTTATTTTTTTCTGAAGGCTGGTAGGGAGAAATACTGTTGCCAAAAATGGGACTTTTATGCTTGTTCTGCTTCTTATAATTTCCAAGCTAGTGAAAGCAAGGTAAGAAAAATTCATGACATCCCACCCATCTAACTTTTAGAGGGTGTCTATAAGATGCACATATTGTTTCCACTCACCTTACTTGTGTGAGACATGGTCTTATAGCTACAAGTACATAAAGTTAAGAAGACAGGTATAGGAGGGAGTATGTGTGTGAGTATGTATCTGTGTATGTCTGTGTGTGTGTGTGTGTGTGTGTGTGTGCATGTGTGTGAGAGAGAGAGAGGAGAGAGAGAATGCTGAAATTGCAGTATCTGGTGAAATATCTATGAGCATAGTAAACAACTCTAAATCTTGGAATCTATTATTTAAAGGAATGAAAGAAAGCATATTATAAAACAATGAGCATTCTTATTATAGAATTGTAGAAGATTGTATTTTCCTAGGATGGCCTAAAATTACATCTCCCATATCCTCTTCTTAATGACATCTTATTAGTCCCATATCAAAAGACAAAGTCTAAGAACCTATGTGTGGGCTACAGGACCAATAGAATGCAGCAGGAGGGGCAGTCAGTCACATTTGGGGCTAAGTCACAAGAAGCTCCACAATTTCTTCCTGTATTTCCAGGAATCTCCCAGTCTTGAGATCTTCCATTTGCAATTAAGCCATCTTGCTGTGGAACCTAAAACACACAGAGAAGACATAGGGTTTTCAGTCAACAAACTCAGCTGGGCTCCCAGTGGACACCCAGGAGCAATCAGCAGCCATATTAGTGACACATTTTGTCATGAAGCACAGTTTATATCTGACTAAAACTATATGAAAGTCTCCCAAGACAAATCACATTGGTGTCAACCACAGAACCACAAAAATGATATTATTTTTAAAATCTATTTGAAGACAATTGGATATACAAGAATAAATATGAAGGCCAGATGATAAATATTTACTCTGGACATTGAGTAAAATCTGTCTTAGTTTCCCTTAGAATTGTAAAAGAAGCATTATTTAACAAAACATATCTTCCTTTACTCTCTGCTGTATTTAAAGTGATTCTTTAAATCTACAGTGTAATGGAATTACTTCAGGTATGTATATGGTTAGAATGTTTTTCTTTCATTTTCTTCTAGGTTTTAGTCATTATCAAAATTCAAATATCCCTAGATAGATTTGAGATGTTACCAATCATTTTTACCTTAATTACAATAAAGGATTTGAGAGTAAGTGTTAAAAATAAGAATAGAACCAATTTGACTGCAGGCTTTGAATGTAAGAAAGAAGAATAAATGGAGAAAGTGTCAAATAGAGGAAGAACTAGAAAAGAATCTAATGCAAATTTCCCTTACTTTTTACTTTTATCCACAGTCATTCTCTGTTACAATTTAGATCTAAAATGTTTCTCAAAATTCTCATGTGTTTGGAAGATGATTGGATTATGTTGCACTACACAATTGATGGATTCATATATTGATAAGTTTAGTAGCTGAATGTGTTTAACATAGCTGAGTTTGTACTTATCAATAAGAAACAAGATGTGGAGCTCAGACCCAAAGGCCTAGCCACAGGCCTACCTGGAATAGAGCTGCACAGGTCACAAGTAACAGCCAGAGGGCTTCCCATATTCCATCTATAAGTGTATGCAAATCTCAGTGAGAATCCCACATGGGCCAGAGTGACACAGCTGTAGGAAAGACCAGACAGGGCCCTACTCTGACCCTAGCAGCTTGGACCCACAGGCCTAGCCAAAGGACCACCTAGTAAAGAGATGCACAGGTGCACAGGCAACAGCCAGAGGTCTGCCCAGATACCATTGGTGAGTGCATGCAGACCCCACCCAGAAATCCACTCTGACACCACTGACTCAGGTGCACAGCCCCCAGCCAAAGACCCTCCTAGAAAACAGCTACATTTTGGGACAGGCCCCAGGCAGAGGCATGCCCAAATTCCATCACAAGTATGAACAGGCCCCAGTCAGAACCTGGCCAGGACAACAAGGAAGTGCATGGGATCCAGATGGCCACCCATTCTGAACCAAGGAATTGGCACAGAGGTAAACAGCAGAGAAAAGACCACTGGTTGGCTTTCAGAGAATTGAAAACCACTGGGTGAGCAAACAGTTGACTCAGCAAAGGCACAGCAGGTTGCATCTGTTGAAATGAGAAGACACGTAAACAAGTCTCAAAAGCAGATTTTGAGATCACCTAAGGCAACCTCAAAGGGAAATGAGATAGAACAATCTGATACTCAACCACCTAGACTCCCTGAACTGGCAAAGAGAGAGGATCTGGAAAAAATGAAATGAGAAAAAATATCTCAGATAATGACAGAAATTGTGTCCATAGTGCAAGACATTATTAAATCTAGAGCAGGCACAAAAAAAAAAAATAGAGGAGCTGAGGAACATGATGGAATCTGGGCATAGGAAACAAGTGGAATCCATAAAACAGATGCAAATGGAGTTACAGGAGATTAATAGCTCCTTCAAAAGTTTCCACAGCAGATTGAGCCAATGTGAGGACAGAATTTCAGATATAGAGACAGGAATGCAATTAGTGACTAGGAAAGAAAAATTTCTTAAATATAGTAAGGGACCATGAGAAATTAATCCAGAACCTGCTAGATGGTGAAAAGAAGAATGACATAAGACTGATTAGTGTCAAAGAAGTAACAAGAGAGAATGGAAATGACATAAAAAACTGTTCAAAGAAGTAGTGGCAGAAAATTTCCCAAGCAGAGGAAAAGAACTTGACATACAGATAAGTAAGGCATATAGGACTCCAACTAGTCTTGATCAAAAAAATCTACACATAGCCATATAATAGTTAAGATTCCAGAAACCAAACAGGAGAACAAATTTCTACAAGCAGTTAGAGAAAAGAAACAAATCACATATGAAGGAAAGCCAATCAGAATCACAGCAAACTTCTCATCACAAATCCTCAAGGCAAGAGGAGCCTGAGTGAAATATTTCAAGCCTTAAAAGAAAACAACCTCCAGATTGATGTGCCCTCCAATTTACCTTTCAAAATCGATAGAGAAATAAAACAGTTTCATGGCAAAGAACACCTGAGGAACTTCATGAATACCAAACTAGCACTCCAAAATGTTTCAACAATAGCCTATGAAAATACAATGAAGATCACAACCTCAGGAAGCCCAGCAGAATGAATTCATGAGGCATGACAAGAAATTAAATGCAAAGTGGGGAAATCCAATAAAAAGAAAAAGTCATGACAAGGATAAATCAAAACATATCAGGTAAACCATCAATATTAATGATCTCAATTCACCAATCAAAAGAAATAGACTGGCAAAATGGGTCAAGAAGCAAGATACAGCAACATGCTGCATAAAAGAAACACACTTAATTCAAAAAGAAACTCATAGACTGAAAGTTCAATGGTGGAAAACAATACTCTATGCAACGGGAACCTGAAAAAAATCAGGAGTAGCTATGCTCTTTGCAGATCAAATGGATTTCAAACCAACACTGATTAAGAGAGACAAAAAAAGATACTACATAATGTAAAGGGAAAAATCCAAGAGGAAGAGATGACAATCATAAATATATGTGCACCAAATACTAGTGTGCCCAACTATATAAAACAAAATAGACCACATACTCGCTCATAGAATGTGTTTAAGTAAGAGTAAAGGAATTGAAGTTATGCCCTGCATATTATCCAACCATAGTGTGATTAAATTGGAGATCAATAGCAAAAGAAACCACAAGAATATCATAAACACATGGAAATTGAACAACACACTTCTGAATAACCAATGGCTCACAGAGCAAATTAAAGGAGAATTCAGACAGATTCCACAACTAAATGACAATGTCAACACAACATACCAAAATCTATGAGACATAATGAAAGCAGTCTAACAAGGGAAATTCATAGCAATAAATATTCATATTAGGAGAATAGAATGAGATCAAACAAACAAACTGATGATGAGCCTCAAACTTCTAGGATAAGAACAGCAGGACAAACCCAAAGCTCATACAAGGGAGGAAATTATAAAGATCAGAACAGAAATCAATGCAATGGAGGAAAAGAGAACAATACAAAAAATAAATGAAGCAAAGAGTTGGTTCTTTGGGAGAATAAGAAAAATTGGCAAAACCTTAGCCCACCTTATCAAGAAAAAGGAAAGCCTGAAATCCATGCAATTAGGAATGAAAAGGGTGAAATTATAGCATTCAACAAAATCCAACATGCATTCATGATAGAAAAACCCTACAAAAATTTGGAATAGATGGTCTCTACCTCAACCTGATAAAAACCACCTATGAAAAACCAAAAGCCAATATCATACTAAATGGTCAAAAACTGAAATCCTTCACATTAAAATAAGGAACAAGACATGGATGTTCACTATCACCACTCCTGTTCAATATAGTTCTGGAAACATTGGCCACAGCAATTAGACAAGAGAAAGAAATAAAAAGAATAAAGATAGGAAACAAAGAAGTCAAATTGTCATTATTTTCAGATGATATGATACCCTATATAGAAGATCCCAAGAAGTCCACCAAAAGTCTTCTAGACTTAATAACCAAATTCAGTAAAGTACCTGGATACAAGGTCAACACACAAAAATCAGTAGCTTTCCTGTATACAAACAACAGACTCACTGAGATAGAAATAGGGCAAACAATTCCTTTCACAATAGCATCCAAGAAACTGAAATACCTAGGAATCAACCTAACAAAAGAAATCAAGGACCTCTACTCTGAAAACTATAGCACTTTGAAAAAAGAGATTGAAGATGATATCAGAAATGGAAAGACATCCCTTGCTTCTAGGTAGGAAGAACCAATAGAGTGAAAATAGCCATACTTCTAAAACTGCTATATAGATTCAATGCAATCTCAATCGAAATTCCAGCAACATACTTCACAGATCTTGAGAAAAGAAATCAAAAATTCATTTGAAACAAGAAGAGACCCAATGTAACGAAAACAATTCTAGACGACAAATACAAGGTAAGGGATATAAACATCCACAACTTGAAAACATACTACAAAGCTACTGTGATAAAAACAGCATGGTACTGGTAAAAAAACAGACCCAAGGACCAGTGGAACAGATTAGAAGATGCAGAAACAACTCCAGACACATTCAGCCACCTCATCTTCTACAAAGGAGCCAATTTCCCTAACTAGAGAAAAGATAGCCTCTATAACAAGTGGTGCTAGAAAAATTGTGTTTCAACTTGCCAAAGATTAAAACTAGACCTGTATCTCTCACCCTGCACTCAACTAAAATTGAAATGGATTAAAGATCTAAATATTAAAACAGAAATGCTGAACTGGCTGGAACAGAGGTTAG